TTTTGGTAAATTTAAAATACATAAAAAAATATATTTTTATTTTTAAAAATGATTTAATGAATTAAAAATTGAAAAGAAGAGTTGTTAACTAACAAGTTTCTTGAAGTATACTATGTTTTAAATTTATGTAAGAAAATTTTATAACAATGATAATAAAAATTTCGTGTTAGTAATATTGCGTAGTATATTTTGTATTCTGTTACTTATTTATATTTGTTATTTTTGGAAAAATGGATTTGAATTCTTAAACATTACACTTAACAATATAAATAAAATATATATAGTTAATATCGATAATCAATGATGTTTCAAATTTTTATTAAAAATTTAGTACTTTTATTAAAATAAATAATTTCCTCTTAAATACAATAAATGTAAATTTAGGAAGACTAAAAATATAAAGCACTTTACGGGTTTATAACATAAAAGCATAACATAAATTCATAAAATTAGTAGAGAAAATTATATCTTCTCTTTATTAATATGTTTGTTCAATACTCTATCAAAGTTATTGAATAAGAAATAAATAAAATAATATTTCAACTGAAAAATTAATCATTTCAAAAAAGAAGTAAATATATATTTTTTTTTGTATTTAAAAATTAGAAAAAGAATATAAAGTAATTAACAATTATTTTTTAATTTTTTTTTTTGCACATAGAATTTGCATGTATAACTATATATTTTCCATACAACTATTATTGTTCATTTTCAAAAAGGTTAATAATGCATTTTATTAACCAACATGCAATTGTTAAGTAAAAAAAAAAGAAAAAAATACGTTAATGTTTTTTTTATTTTTGTAATTTTAATAATCAAAAAAATAAATTTTTACTTTTTTTAAAAGGAATTTAGTGGTCTAAAAATAGATGAAAAAGTTATTGACTAAAAAAGCTTATTGTAGTGCACATTTATTTAAATTTTAATAAGAAAATTTTATATTAAAAATAATATAATTTTTGTGTTTTGCAGTACTTGCGTGATTTAATTTGAATTTTATCAATTATTTATGCTAGTTAATTTGAGAGCAATAAATTTGAATTGTTAAATATAAATCATAATATAAGTAAAATAAATGTAATTAATTTTTATTAATTTCCTATTCATTACTTTGCTAGAGTATTGAAAAAAAGGGTTTACAACGAGCAGGTAGAGTTTCTTCTACCATTTAAATGAATTTAAATTTTTTTTAATTCTATAAACCATTGAAATGTATATGGTCTCCTTTATTGAGCATTTATTGTTTTTAAGAGTCCTTTAATTATTTTAAAGAAAATCCCTAATTTTTAATAAAAATTTAAATCTTTATTAATTACAGTTTTAAATCACATATATATTACTTATAATATTATGATTAATTTTTAACAATTCAAATTCACTTCTCGCGAATTAGCAAATATAAATAACAAAACACAAAATAAGTAATACAATACTACAAACGCGAAAATTTTATTATTGTTAATATAAATTTTTCTCTTAAAAGTCCAAAGATAAAAATTTTCCACGAAAAAACTTTATATCAAGTTTTCTTCTATTTTTAATAACTTGAATATTTTTTTCACACTATTCAATTCTTCTTTTTTCATTTATTTACTACTTTCATGTCTATTTATATTCCTTACAGCTATTAATTTTTTTCTCAGAAAGGTTAATAATTCTTTTTATTAACAAATTTTTAAATCTAATAATTCTCAATAAAGACTTTTCTTTTTTCCTTTTTGTGTCTTTTTTTTGTTTTTTTTTTTTTTTGATGACTTTTTTATGTTTTTGTTTTATATTTATGTAATAATTATACATACTAACAGCTNAAAAAAATTAATTATTAATTTTTTTTTATTTTCTTTTTGGTAAATTTAAAATACATAAAAAAATATATTTTTATTTTTAAAAATGATTTAATGAATTAAAAATTGAAAAGAAGAGTTGTTAACTAACAAGTTTCTTGAAGTATACTATGTTTTAAATTTATGTAAGAAAATTTTATAACAATGATAATAAAAATTTCGTGTTAGTAATATTGCGTAGTATATTTTGTATTCTGTTACTTATTTATATTTGTTATTTTTGGAAAAATGGATTTGAATTCTTAAACATTACACTTAACAATATAAATAAAATATATATAGTTAATATCGATAATCAATGATGTTTCAAATTTTTATTAAAAATTTAGTACTTTTATTAAAATAAATAATTTCCTCTTAAATACAATAAATGTAAATTTAGGAAGACTAAAAATATAAAGCACTTTACGGGTTTATAACATAAAAGCATAACATAAATTCATAAAATTAGTAGAGAAAATTATATCTTCTCTTTATTAATATGTTTGTTCAATACTCTATCAAAGTTATTGAATAAGAAATAAATAAAATAATATTTCAACTGAAAAATTAATCATTTCAAAAAAGAAGTAAATATATATTTTTTTTTGTATTTAAAAATTAGAAAAAGAATATAAAGTAATTAACAATTATTTTTTAATTTTTTTTTTTGCACATAGAATTTGCATGTATAACTATATATTTTCCATACAACTATTATTGTTCATTTTCAAAAAGGTTAATAATGCATTTTATTAACCAACATGCAATTGTTAAGTAAAAAAAAAAGAAAAAAATACGTTAATGTTTTTTTTATTTTTGTAATTTTAATAATCAAAAAAATAAATTTTTACTTTTTTTAAAAGGAATTTAGTGGTCTAAAAATAGATGAAAAAGTTATTGACTAAAAAAGCTTATTGTAGTGCACATTTATTTAAATTTTAATAAGAAAATTTTATATTAAAAATAATATAATTTTTGTGTTTTGCAGTACTTGCGTGATTTAATTTGAATTTTATCAATTATTTATGCTAGTTAATTTGAGAGCAATAAATTTGAATTGTTAAATATAAATCATAATATAAGTAAAATAAATGTAATTAATTTTTATTAATTTCCTATTCATTACTTTGCTAGAGTATTGAAAAAAAGGGTTTACAACGAGCAGGTAGAGTTTCTTCTACCATTTAAATGAATTTAAATTTTTTTTAATTCTATAAACCATTGAAATGTATATGGTCTCCTTTATTGAGCATTTATTGTTTTTAAGAGTCCTTTAATTATTTTAAAGAAAATCCCTAATTTTTAATAAAAATTTAAATCTTTATTAATTACAGTTTTAAATCACATATATATTACTTATAATATTATGATTAATTTTTAACAATTCAAATTCACTTCTCGCGAATTAGCAAATATAAATAACAAAACACAAAATAAGTAATACAATACTACAAACGCGAAAATTTTATTATTGTTAATATAAATTTTTCTCTTAAAAGTCCAAAGATAAAAATTTTCCACGAAAAAACTTTATATCAAGTTTTCTTCTATTTTTAATAACTTGAATATTTTTTTCACACTATTCAATTCTTCTTTTTTCATTTATTTACTACTTTCATGTCTATTTATATTCCTTACAGCTATTAATTTTTTTCTCAGAAAGGTTAATAATTCTTTTTATTAACAAATTTTTAAATCTAATAATTCTCAATAAAGACTTTTCTTTTTTCCTTTTTGTGTCTTTTTTTTGTCATCTAGGTAAGTTGGTAATAATTGTGCATCCAACTTTTTTTCTTCTATTTTATCCTGTACGTTTTCTACCTGATTTATTTATTTTATATAATTTACATTTTTAATTTATTAAATTATCATTCAACTAATTTGCTAGAGTAATGAAATACATATTATTAAAGTGGTTAATAAGAGGTTTCATTAACCATTTTGGCTATAAAAAGGACTAGTTATGTGGAGAATACGTAGTTGTTTGTGCTAACTAAAAAAAAAAAAAAAAAAAAATTATTGGAATTTTTTTTTTGAGAAATGTTTCTTTTGAAAAAGATAAAGATAAAAAAATAAAATAAAAAAAAAAAAGATTTAATTTTTTTTTTTTTGAAGGAGAGAGATTTTTTTTACGAAAGATAATAATATGTTTATAAAAGAGTTTAATTTGCATAATATTTATATTTTGAATTTATAACAGGAAATTTTATACATATGACAATAAAATTTCCACGTAATTAATATTCATATAATTTATTTGCACTTTTACTAATTGTTTATGTTTGTTAATTCAACAGCAATATGTTTAAATTGCTGAACGTAACTCATAACAAAGAAATAATTAATTTACATTTAATTAATAGTCAATATTCAATAAGGATTTAAATTTTTAATAAAAATAGGGATTTTTATTAAAGTAATTAAATGCCTATTGAAAGTAAAGAATGCTGAACGAAGTAGAGCACATAATTAAGAATTATTCGTTCAAAGCATATATAATATATATAAATACAACAAAATCGTAGACACACCTCTACATGCTCTTTATTAATTGGTTTGTTCAGTTCTCTAGTAAAGTCACCGAACACCCAGTTAATAAATCATAGAGAGAATATGGAGTTTTCTCTAGTAATTAAATGGATTTTAAATCTAATTTTAATGATATAAACAAATAAACTGCAATAATGCGGTTCATTGTGAATTTACTTTAATAAAAATTATGCATTTTAATTAAAAACATATATTCTCATTAATTATTAATTTTTAAGTACAAAATATTTATTGCTTTTTATAAATAATATACAGTAACATAAGTTCACTGCTTTTAAAAATAATAAAAATACTTAAATAATAAAAAAAAATTTAATTATATTAATATCACTTAACTAAAATTTTATTCTTAAAAATTAAAAAATATTCTCATGTAATTTTTTCTTTCTAAAAAATTTTTCTCTTTTAATTTTTTTTTTTTTTTAAAAAATAAAATATTTCTCTATAAAAATAATTTAGACAAAATATTAATTTTTCTTTTATTTAACTAGATCTTGTGCATGAATCATCCTATATTCTCTGTTGAACCATTAATATTTATTCTACTGAAGGTTAACAAACCAATTAATAAGCAATTTCCAAATTTTTAATTTCTTACTTTTTTATTTTATTGTTTTCCATTTCTTACTTACATTCGAATAAAAATTCCTTAAATTGTAATTCAAGTTCTTTCATAACCCTATCAATTATTTTGTTTTTTTCTTCATCTGGAATATCACGTCGACGAGACATTAAATGTAGATCATTAACTTTCGTAGTTGAAATTTTATGCCATTCAATATTCCATTTTCGGTTTTTCGAATTAGGGCTCATTCCACTAGTTTCTTTATCAAATCGCTTCCACAATTGTGGAATAATGATCTTATACCAAAAATTGTACGGATCCCTGTATTTAACCGGATTTTCCCATATGTTTTTTTCATTATCTAATGGACACTCTTCTAGACATCCTTTATCGTTTGTTTGCTTATTACCTACTATGTCTCCCTCTGTTAATACTCTTTCATATTTTAACTCATTTTTTGTTTCCAATATATTTTTACCAGTCAAAGTTATATAAGAATAACACTATGGATTAAATAAAAATTTTTTAAAAGAATATTTCTTTTGTTAGAATAGTAAATCAAATTGAATGTCAAGAATAATTAGAAATAAAATATATCTATATGTATATTTTTTGTAAAAATTTTAACTTACGTTATAAAAACACTGATACATCCAAATTAAAAGAAGGAATGTAGTAATTTTTAAATATAAAGTTAACGATTTCATATTAATATATTTATAAAATAATACTGAAGTGAAAGTTGTTAATTCAAGTGTAAAATTGTTTCAATTTTCAATAATACTAAATTATGGATTTGTAATATTAACTTAGATATTATTATAACTTATATTAATTTCTTAAATTTTTAAAATAGAAAATTATTTTCATATATGAAATGTAATTTTTAATTTTGTATTATTACACATGATGTAATGGTTACTTTAGATAGGAATAATAATCTTAATTCATTAAAAAATAAGATAAGAATGTTAATTTACAAATAAATGAAAAATATAATAAATCGGATAAATTTATTTTAAAAATATGTAATTAAAATTTTACTTATTTCTAAATTATGTAAGAAAATTAAATATTTTTAATTTAATGCACATAAAAATTATAAATGATATATATTTAATGTTAAAGAATTTTTTTAATTTTTTATTTCTAAATTACCGATCTTTTTGAATTATATCGAACTTTAAATTATTTTATATACGGTACATTATGATTTATAAATATAAATCTTCGTATTTTATAGAGATATATTTCCATAAAAAAAAAAAAAAAAAACTCTATAAATTAAAAATTTTTACACGCATGTATTTTTCATGCAGTATACTACATTTGTCACAATTTTTCACTTAATATAAAACTAATTTTTGTTTTTGTATATTTTTCTTTTAAATATAACTTTTTTGATTTTTCTAATAAATTTTTTTTTATCTTAATTCTTTTTTTTTTATTTTTATTATTGATAAATGTTTACACAATATATGCATATATTTATTTTTTGTTATAACTATTTTTTAAAAAAAATTACTTTTTAAAATATTTTAAAAAAATGAAAAAAATTTATTAAGTACTTAAATTCAAAAGAAAGAGTGAAAATAGGTATTTACATTAAAGAAATTATAATAACAAATCTTATAAAAAGAACATTTAAAGTGAAATAAATTAATTACAATTTAAAAAAAGAAAAAAAAAAAAATACTATTTTTTTAATCATATATTTACAGTAAAAAATATTTTTTAAAATAAGTTTTATTTTTTGATAAATTTACATAATTTTTTCTAAAAATACATTTTTATAAATTTAATTTTTTACGAGTAATACTTATCAGTTTCAATTATAATATAAAGTTTTTTACTGAATATAAAAATATATCTTTAGTTATATATAATAGATTTTTTCTTATAAAATTCAAAAGAATGTATTTTTATTGTTACATAAAAAATATCAATAAATAAAGATAAAATATAGTTATAAAATAGCTTTTTGTATATATATTATTATAATCTTCTAATTAAATATAAAAAAAATTATTTTTTTTTTGCCTTTATAAATTTATTTGATAATTTTGATTGTTATTACGATGTGTTTATTTTCCTTTTTATTTTTAGTTTTATATATTCAGAGCATGAATTTTTATTTTTCATTTTACTTACCAAAAAATTTGTGTAACTCATTTATATATTATAAATAAATTCAACAATAGACCCTTCCTAATATAACGTTTTTCTTAAAAGGTTAAATTTTATAAGACATCTTTGTAAATATTAATGGAGAATTTTATTAAGAATTTTTATTTTTTAAATTTTATTTGTTACAATCTTTGACATGTTATTAATAAAAAGTGGTGTATATAAATACTGTCATTTTTAATATTTTAATACTAAATTTTCTCTAAGAAATAATCATAAATTTAATAAAAGTATATTTTTTATGATTTATATTTTTTTAATATTATATGTAGAAGTTGTTGTTACTAGTAAAAATATGTAAAATATAAAAGTGTCTTACATTTAACATAGTGATTTATTAACTGGGTGTTCGGTGAGTTTCTTATAGTACTGAATAAACCAATTAATAAAGAGCATGTAGAGGTGTCTCTACGATTTTGTTGTATTTATATGTACTTTTAATATTCTTTGAACGAGTAACTCTTAACTATATGTTCTACTTCGTTCAACATTCTTTACGTTAATAGGCATTTATTTACTTTAATAAAAATCCCTATTTTTATTAAAAAGTTAAATCCTTATTTAATATTGACTATTATTTAAATGTAAATTATTTATTTCTTTGTTATGAGTTATGTTCAGCAATTTAAATATATTGCTGTTGAATTAACAAACATAAACAATTAGTAAAAGTGCAAATAAATTATATCAATATTAATTACGTGAAAATTTTATTGTCATATTTATAAAATTTTCTTTCATAAATTAAAAATGTAAATATTATGCAAATTAAACTCTTTACAAAAACATTATTATCTTTCGTAAAAAAAATCTCTCTCCTTCAAAAAAAAAAAAATTAAATCTTTTTTTTTTTTATTTTATTTTTTTATCTTTATCTTTTTCAAAAGAAACATTTCTCAAAAAAAAAATTCCAATAATTTTTTTTTTTTTTTTTTTTTTATTTAGCACAACTAACTACGTATTCTCCACATAGCTAGTCCTTTTATAGCCAAAAAGATTAATGAAGCCTTTTATTAACCACACAGATTTTACATGCTATTAAAATAATTTGAATAGTGTGTGTATTGCAGATATAGAAATTAAATTATCCAAATAATAGTTCATGAAGTATTAAAATTATTATAATTATTATAAATAGGATAATATTCATAAGGAAAAGAAATTCTTTATAACTCTGATTTATTAATAGTTGTTAAATTACTTTTCTCGTGTCAAACAAATAAATTAATAAGGAAAATGTAGTTTAAACTCTAATTAATTTTAATATAAAATTTTTATTTATATTAATAAACATTACACATGACTTATTAGTTAATTTTTTTTTTAATACAAGCAACACTCTAAAATGTAATTTCCTTAATATTACATTTCAGCTTAAAATAAAAGTATATATTTTATTGTAATCTGCACATTATCCTCTAAAAAAAAAAAGGAAAAACTAATTTTTTTTTTAATATTACATTTTTTTTTAGTAATAAATAAAATATAATTATAATATATATTTTTTTTCAATTGTAAATATCCACAAAAAATATATTTTTATTTATTTTTTCTTAAGTGCGCTCACTTTATGTGCAAGTATGTATATACATATATTTTTTGTTTAGGTAATTTTTGAATAACTATTTTGGAGCAAGCATTTATGATAGCAAATTGTCCTTGTGAATTAGCATGCACAAAATAAAATGTTTTTATTCTATTTATTCGTCTAAATATTATACAAAAAAGGTCAATATATTAACCGATATGAACAATATAGGTAAAATTAAATATGTTCACTATACGTCAAGAATACTTAGTGACATTCACCGGAAATAGAATAAAATATAAAAAAAATTATATTCAATAGTTACAACTTGTGAAACATATGATTATTATATTAAAGGATCTATGGTATTGATTTATTAACTGGGTGTTCGGTGACTTCGCTAGAGTATTGATTCATTAACTGGATGTTCGTGACTTTGCTAGAGTACTGAACAAACAAATTAATAAAGAGCATGTAGAGGTGCCTCTACGATTTTTGTATATTTATATGTATTTTTATATGCTTTGAACGAATAATTCTTAATTATGTGTTCTACTTCGTTCAGCATTCTTTAATTTCAATAGGCATTTATTTACTTTAATAAAAATCCATATTTTTATTAAAAATTTAAATCCATATTTAATATTATTTTTTATTTAATTGTAAATTATTTATTTCTTTGTTATGAGTTATGTTCATAAATTTAAATATATTGCTGTTGAATTAACAAAAATAAACAATTAGTAAAAGTTCAAATTAATTATATGAATATTAATTACGTGAAAATTTTATTGTCATATGTATAAAATTTTCTCTAACAAATTAAAAATATAAATATTATGGAAATTAAACTCTTTTATGAAAATATTATTATCTTTTTAAGATCTTATTTTTATTGGTGCTAAATCTTACTTTCGATTTTAATTTTACCAATTTTTCTTCTCTCTCTCTAATTAAATAATTTTAAAAAATAAATATATTATTTTACGTATCTCCATTTATTTAAAAAAGAAAAAATATCAAAAAAAATTCAATAATTTTTTTTTTTTTTTTTTTTCGGCGTGTGCACAACCAACTACGTATTCTTCATAATGCTAGTCTGTTTTATTACTAAAAAGGTTAATGAGGCCTTTTATTAACCAGTAATGGACGAATTAGGATGTGCCATCAGAAAAAAAAGGATAAATATATATATATCATGGAAGTTAAACCCGAAGTAAAGGAGGATGAATTAGAGAATTCGAATATAGAAATTATTCAGAATTTTATTAAAGTATATAACTTAAATGATCAAGAAAAAAAGAAGAGTTGGATAAGGTATTAAGAAATAATCCAAGACTCTGGAAAAATAAAATCATAGAAGCTAACAACATATACCAAGTTTCTATTTAGGTACAAGGTAAACCTCGGCGTTATAACCCTAGACCATTGCTTTATTTATTGGGTGTTCTGTGACTTTACTATAATACTGAACAAACCAATTAATAAAGAGCATGTAGAGGTGTCACTACGATTTTGTTGTATTTATATGTATTTTAATATGCTTTGTACGAGTACATCTTAACTATGTGCTCTACTTCGTTCAACATTCTTTACTTTCAATAGGCATTTATTTACTTTAATAAAAATCCTTATTTTTATTAAAAATTTAAATCCTTATTGAATATCGACTAATAATTAAATGTATATTACTTGTTTATTTGTTAAGAGTTACATTCATCAGTTAATGTATATTGCTATTGAATTAACAAACATAGACAATTATTGACAATACAAAAAAATATATAAATATTAATTACATGAAAATTTTATTGTTACTGGTATAAAATTTTATCTTACAAAATTCATTCAAATCATATTTCATTCCAAAAAAACAAAATCTTCTTTTTTTTTTTTTATTTTTTTTTAATTTATTGGTAACAAATCTTTTTCCAATTGATTTATTTTTTTTAAAAAAAAATTACATACAAAAAAAATTGATCATTTTTTTTTTTTTTTTTTTGTGTACATGAACAACTTCGTATTCTTCATTTAACTAGTCCTTTTATTTTCCAAAAAGGTTATTGAAGCCTTTTATTAACCACCTCTACATTTACTAACTGATTTATTTACTTTCCATAATTTACATTTTTAATTTATTAAATTATCCTTCAATGAATTTTCTATAGTAATGAAAAACAATTTATTAAAGAGAATATGGAGTTTTCTCTAATAATGAAATGGATTTTAAATCTAATTTTAATGATATAAACAAATAAACCGCATTAATGCGGTACATTGTGGATTTAGTTTGATAAAAATTATGTATTTTTAATAAAACATATATTCTAATTAATAATTAATTTTTATGTACAAAATATTTATTGTTTTTTATAAGTAATTTTCAGTAATTTAAGTTCACTGCTTTTAAAAATAATAAAAATACTTAAATAATAAAAAAAAATTTTAATTATATTAATATCACTTAACGAAAATTTTATTCTTAAAAATTAAAAAATATTCTCATGAAATTTTTTCTTTCTAAAAAATTTTTGTCTATTAATTTTTTTTTTTTTTAAAAAATAAAATATATTTCTATAAAAAAAATTTTAACAAAATATTAATTTTTCCTTTTCTTAACTAGATCTTGTGCATGACCCCTCCTATATTCTCTGTTAAACCATTATATTCTATTCTCCTTAAGAATATCAAAACAATAATCAATTTCGAAATTTTTTTTTTATAATTTTTTATTTCATTTGTTCCCTTCTCTTTCGTAGATTCGGATTCTTTTTTATTGTCTCTCATCTCTTTCGTAGATTCGGATTCTGTTCTATTTTCTCTCATCTCTTTTTTAGATTCAGATTCTGTTTTACTGTCTATCAACTCTTTCATAGATTCGGATTCTGTTTTATTATCTATTGTCTCTTTCATAGATTCGGATTCTGTTTTATTATCTATTGTCTCTTTCATAGATTCGGATTCTGTTTTATTATCTATTGTCTCTTTCATAGATTCGGATTCTGTTTTATTATCTATTGTCTCTTTCATAGATTCGGATTCTGTTTTATTATCTATTGTCTCTTTCATAGATTCGGATTCTGTTTTATTATCTATTGTCTCTTTCATAGATTCGGATTCTGTTTTATTATCTATTGTCTCTTTCATAGATTCGGATTCTGTTTTATTATCTATTGTCTCTTTCATAGATTCGGATTCTGTTTTATTGTCTATCATCTCTTTCTTAGATTCGGATTCTATTTTATTATCTATTGTCTCTTTCATAGATTCGGATTCTGTTTTATTATCTATTGTCTCTTTCATAGATTCGGATTCTGTTTTATTATCTATTGTCTCTTTCATAGATTCGGATTCTGTTTTATTATCTATTGTCTCTTTCATAGATTCGGATTCTGTTTTATTGTCTATCATCTCTTTCTTAGATTCGGATTCTGTTTTATTGTCTCTCATCTCTTTCTTACATTCATCTAAAAATGTCCAAAATTCCATGTCGAGTTCATCCTTAACATTACGAATTAATTTTTTTTTTTCTTCTTCTGATATATCACTTCTATAAAATATTGAAGATAGTTCATTAACCTTGTTAGCTGAAATTTTATTCCATTCATTATTCCATTTTTGGTCTCTCCATTCAGGGTCCATTTCACTTGTTTTTTTATTAAATATTTTCCTGAATAACGGATTAGTTTTTCTCTTCCATCGATCGCACGGATTCTCGTTTTGAACCGGATTTTCCCAATTGTTTTTTTCATTATCTAATGGACACTCTTCTAGACATCCTTTATCGTTTGTTTGCTTATTACCTACTATGTCTCCCTCTGTTAATACTCTTTCATATTTTAACTTATTTTTTGTTTGCAATATATTTTTATCAATCAAAGATTTATAGGAATCACACTATGGATTAAATAAAAATTTTTTAAAAGAATGTTTCTTTTATTAGAATAGTAAATCAAATGGAATGTCAAGAATATTTAGAAATAAAATATATCTATATGTATATTTTTTGTAAAAATTTTAACTTACGTTATAAAAACATTGATACATCCAAATTAAAAGAAGGAATGCAGTAATTTTTAAATATAAAGTTAACGTTATCATATTAATATATTTATAGAATAATATTGAAGGTGTAGTCGTTAATTCAGGTGTAAAATTGTTTCAATTTTGAATAATACTAAATTATGGATTTGTAACATTAATTTTGATGTTATTATAACTTATATTAATTTCTTAAATTTTTAAAATAGAGAATTATTTTCATATATGAATTGTAATTTCTAATTTTTTATTATTATATAAGATATTATGTTTACTTTAGGTAGGAATAATATTCTTAATACTTTAAAAAATAAAATAAAAATGTTAATTTACAAATAAATAAAAAATATAATAAATCGGATAAAGTTATTTTAAAAATATTTTATTAATATTTTATTTATCTTTAAATTATGTAAAAAAATTAAATATTTTTAATTTAATGCACATAAAATTTAAAAATGATATATATTTAATGTTAAAGGATTTTTTTATTTTTTTTTTTCTAAACTACCAATCTCTGTTAATTATGTCGAACTTTAAATTATTTTATACACAGTATATTATGATTTATATATATGAATCTTTGTACATTATAGAGATATATCTAACACAAAAAAAGAAAAAAAAACTCTATAAATTAAAAATTTTAAACGCATGTATTTTTCATGCAGTATACTACATTTGTCACAATTTTTCACTTAATATAAAACTAATTTTTGTTTGTGTATATTTTTCTTTTATATATAACTTTTTTGATTTTTCTAATATACTCTATTTTATCTTAATTCTTTTTTTTTATTTTTATTATTGATAAATATTTATACAATATATGTATATATTTATTTTTTGTTATAACTATTTTTTAAAAAAAATTACTTTTTCAACTATTTGAAAAAAAATATAAAAATTTTATTAAGTACTTAAATTCAAAAGAAAAAGTGAAAATAGTTATTTACTTTAAAGGAATTATAATAACAAATCTTATAAAAAGCACATTTTGAAGTCACATAAATTAATCACAATTTAAAAAAAAAAAAATGCTATTTTTTTAATCACATATTTAATGTAAAAAATATTTTTTAAAGAAAGTTTTATTTTTTGACAAATTTACCTTACACAAAAAATACATTTTTTTAAATTTACTTTTTTTCTAGTAACATTTATAAGTTTCAAAATTAATATTAATGTTATTTACTGAATATAAAAATATATCTTTAGTTAAATATTATAGGTTTTTTCTTATAAAATTCAAAAGAATGCATTTTTATTGTGATATAAAAAATATCATTAAATAAAGATTAAACAGAATTATAAAATAACGTTTTGCATATATATTATTATTATCTTCTAATTAAATATAAAAGAAAATTATTTATTTATTTTTTTTTTTTTTTGCCTTTATATATTTATTTGATAAGCCTTGATTATAATTACGATGTGTTTGTTTTCTTTTTTATTTTTAGTTTTATATATTTATAGCACAATTTTTTATTTTTCATTTTACTTATCGAAAATCTAGGTAACTGATTTATATAGTATAAATGAATTCAACAATTTTTCCTTCCTAATATAACTTTTTTCTTAATACGTTAAATTTTATAATACATATTTGTAAATATTAATGGAGAATTTTAATAAGAATTTTTGTTTTTCAAATTTAATTTGTTAGAATCTTTCACGTATTATTAATAAAAAGTGCTGTGTATAAATACTATCATTTTTAATATTTTAACACTAATTTTTCTCTTAAAAATAAACATAAATTTAATAAAAGTACATTTTGTATGATTTATAATTTTTTAATATTATATGTAGAAGTTCTTCTTACTGGTAGAAATATATAAAATATAAAATTGTCTTATATTTAAAACAGATATTACATAATATTAAAATAACTTGAATAGTTTGTGTATTGGAGATATAGAAAAATAAATTACCAATTAACAGTTCATGAAGTATTAAAATTATTATAATTATTATAAATAATATAATATTCCTAAGGAAAAGAAATTATTTATAGCTCTGATTTATTAATGGCTGTTCAATTACTATTCTAGTGTTAAACAAATAAATTAATAAGGAAAACGTAGTGTAAACTCTACTTAATTTTAATATAAAATTTTTATTTTTATTTTTATTAATAAACATTAAATATGACTTATTAGTCAATTATTTTTTTTTTAGTATAAGCTACACTCAAAAATGTAATTACCTTAAAATTACATTTTAGCTTAAAATAAAAATATACATTCTATAGTAGTCTGAACATTATCCTCCTAAAAAAAAAAAAAGAAAAACTAATTTTTTTTTTTTTTGTAATAAAAAGAATATAATCATAATATATATTTTTTTTAATTGTAAATAACCGCACAAAAAAAATATTATTATTTATTTATTTTTCTCAAGTGCGCTCACTTTAAGTGCAAGTATGTATATACATATATTTTTTGTTTACGTACTTTTTGAATAACTATTTTGGAGGAAACATTTATAATAGCAAATTGTCCTTGCGAATTAGCATGCACAAAATAAAGTGTTTTTATTCTATTTGTTCGTCTAAATATTATACAAAAAAGTTCAATTGTATTGTTTATTTTTTTTATTAACTGGTGGTTCGGTGACTTTGCTAGAGTACTGATTAATAAAAGGCTTCGTTAACCTTTTTAGTAATAAAAAGGACTACCTATATGTAGAATACGTAGTTGGTTGTGCATACGCGAAAAAAAAAATTGATGATCAATTTTTCATTGTTTGTACTTTTTTTATTTTTAAAAAAAAAGTACAAAGACCGTCAGCAAAAAAAAAAATATATAAAAAAAAAAAGAAAAAAGAATTTTCTTTTTAGAGAATGAAATATATTTTGTGATGAATTTTGCAAAAGAAAATTTTATACATATAACAATAAAATTTTCATATAATAAATATTTATATAATTTTCTTTGTATTGTCAAGAAATGTCTATGTTTGTTAATTTAAGAGCAATATATATTAACTGCTTAATGAAACTCATAACAATGAAACAAGTAATTTACAATTAATAATCAGTGTTAAATAAGGATTTAAATTTTTAATAAAAATAAGGCTTTTTATTGAACTAAATAAATACCTATTGAAATTAAAGAATGCTGAATGAAGTTGATTATTATAATTAAGAATCACTCGTTCAAAGCATTTAAAAATATATATAAATACATAAAAACCATAGAGGAAACTCGACATGCTCTTTATTAATTTGTTTGTTCAGTACTCTAGCAGAGTTACCGAACACCCAGTTAATAAAACAATATTCTAGCAAAGTTATTGAATAATAAATAAATAAATTAATATTTCAACTGAAAAACTAGTCCTTTCAAAAAAAAAGTAAATATATTTTTTTTTTTATATTTAAATATTAGAAAAAGAAAACAAAGTAATTAACAATTATTTTTTTATTTTTTTTTATTTTACATCTAGAATTTGCATGTATAAATATATATTTTCCATACAACTATTATCGTTTATTTTAAAAAGGTTAATAATACATTTTATTAACCAACATGCAATTGTTAAGTAAAAAAGAAAGAAAAAAATTAGTTAATGATTTTTTATTTTTGTAATTTAAATACACAAAAAAATGAATTTTTATTTTTTTTAATAGGAATTTAGTGGTCGAAAAATAGATGAAAAAGTTATTGACTAAAAAAGCTTATTGTAGTGTACTTTTATTTAAATTTGAATAAGAGAATTTTATATTAACTATAATAAAATCTTTGTGTTTTGTAGTACTCATGTAATTTAATTTGAATTTCATCAATTATTTATGCTAGTTAATTTGGGAGCAATAAATTTGAATTGTTAAATATAAATCATAATATAAATAAAATAAATGTAATTAATGGTTTATTAATTTCCTATTCATTACATTGCTGAAGTATTGAAAAGAAGAATTAACAACGAGTAGGTAGTGTTTCTCCTACCATTTAAATGAATTTAAATTTGTTTTTAATGCTACAAACCATTGAAATTCATATGGTCTCCTTCATTGAGCATTTATTGTTTTTAAGAGGCATTTAATTATTTTAATAAAATTCCATAATTTTTATTAAAAATTTAAATCTTTATTAATTATAGTTTTAAATCACATATATTTTACTTGTAATGTTATGATTAATGTTTAACAATTCAAATTCACTTCTAGCGAATTATCAAATATAAATAACAAAACACAAAATAAGTTATACAATACTACAAACACGAAAATTTTATTATTGTTAATATAAAATTTTCTCTTTAAAATTAAAAGATAAAAATTTGCGACGAAAAAAAATTTTATCAATTTTTCTTCTATTTTTAAATAACTTGAATATTTTTTTCACACTATTCATTTCTATTTTCTTTCATTTATCTAGTAATTTCATGTCTATTTATTTTCCATACAGATATTAATTTATTTCTCAAGAAGGCTAATAATTCCTTTTATTAACAAATCTTTAACTCTAATAATTCTCAATAAAGACTTTTTTTTTCTTTTTTGTGTCCTTTTTTTTGTCATGTAGATAAGCTCGTAATAATTTTGCGTCCAACTTTTTTTCTTCTATTTTATCGTCTACATTTACTATCTGATTTATTTACTTTTCATAAATTACATTTTTAATTTATTAAATTATCATTCAACGAATTTGCTAGAGTAATGAAAAACAAATTATTAAAGAAAATATGGAGTTTTCTCTAGCAATTAATTGGATTTTAAATATAATTTTAATGTTACAAACAAGTTAACTGCAATAATGTGGTTCATTGTGAATTTACTTTGATAAAAATTATGTATTTTTATTAAAAACATATATTCTCATTAATTATTAATTTTTAAGTACAAAATATTTATTGCTTTTTATAAGTAATTTTCAATAATTTAAGTTCACTGCTTTTGAAAATAATAAAAATACATAAAAATAAAAAAAAAAATTTAATTATATTAATAACACTTAACGAAAATTTTATTCTTAAAAATTAAAAAATATTCACATGAAACATTTTCTTTCTAAAAAATTTTTCTCATTTAATTTTTTTTTTATAAAAAA